GGAAGGCAGTGCGTTCACGTTCACGTTAACCTCTCTCCATCTTTCCCATCTTCCTTCCCTTCCCCATCTTTCTTTCTTCGCTTTCGCTTTCTTACGAGACGTGTCAAATTAGATCTATAGCGAATGAGACACGCGGAAAACCGACATCAGCGCTGCGGCTGGCAGTGTACACCTTTTTGTTCCGACGTGTACTCGGACTACTGCTAGTTTACTCGGACTCGGACTCGGACTCGGAATACTCGAGTTAGTGTCGATATCTTAGCTCATTCGGAACTCTCGTTAGTGTCGTAGCTCACTCTTACCTCTTAGCTCACTAGACCTACTAGCCTTATTTTGACTGACTCGGATTCGGAATACCCTGGCTTGGGTTGACTACTCTAAACCCCATCCCCACTTACTTTAAATTGGTATGCCTATCCCTACTAGTCTGCCTGCGCGTACGAACGTACGTACGTACGCGAGTTGGGAACGTACCAAGAGTCAAGACGCCGTTGACTCCTGGCTGCCTCGTTAGGCGCCCTAAGTACAGTACCCCGGGCCTTGACGCGGTACTAGTACGTCGACGTGCAGTGCACCGGGCAGTGCAGAAGCCTCGAGGTTCACGGACGTGGAACGGATTAGGATTACATAAGTATCTACACCAGATAACTGATAAGATAACCAATACAGTATATAAGGACGTAGGTAGATCGTAGAGTAGTCAGTCTTGAATACATCGTCTTACCCTGTCTTTGAGGCTCTCGTGTGCCGGGACTCGCTTATCTCAGCGCCCCGTCACATATTTTTGACATCGACGCTCGACACTACTCTACTCGACTACAACCACTCTAACCCGCTCTTCGTCGTCGACACCATCGTCGGATACCCCTTGGCTTGATCACCCAAGGATTCCCAGGTACGTCGTCGATTCTATATTTGCGAACTCACTACTCTATATTAGGATGGCAACGAGGATTACTCGTGCGAAGGCGAAGGGTACGAGCAGCACGACTGAAAACCCTTCGTCGACCCGGGAGCCAGTGCGCTCATCAGCCCCGCAAGGGCTTGCTCGATTAGAGCAGGACTCCGTCGCCATTGGCGATGAGGAGCGACTCGGGAATCGGGTCCCCGAGGAACGTCCACGTGGTCAAGCTGACCAACGAGAGGACAATGACGAAAGCCGAGGTCGAAACGACCGAAGGCATGTGAGTCCGAACAGAGCTGCTGCAGCGAGGCCTGTTCGTCGAAGTTATAGCTCAGATGCAGTTACTAGGTACCAAAATAATGAAAATGTGTCAGACGAACTGCGTATGGCCATAGAAGCCGTCGTCGAGACGCGAGACGGCGTAGAAAGAATTCTGCGAGCAGTCCGTAGCGAAAAGGATCGCAGAAGGGCTATTGATAGCAACACCGAGGA